GGGAAGAATGGTTGGTGTCAGGGCTGGAGGGAGGCGGCATGTCTGGCCTTGCAGGGATGGGCCTTGGGCTACTGATGGTGAATCTTTCTTCCTCTTGCAGGGTTAGAGGAGGTCAGAAGATGCGGCCTTCCTGCCCATTTGGCAACCTGTGCATACTAAGCACTTTACCAAATGTACAGAATATACGTGTGGTCCAATTTTTGCCCACAAAGAGCTGACAGATGTAAGACACTCACAATATAGATGGCTTAGAGTTCGACTTACATAATTCACCCTAGATCTTTTTGGTTTTTAGATGATGTGTAGGGATTTTTGTTTTCCCAATTTTCTTTTTTCCCCCCATCTTTATAATTTAAAATTCTTGAGGTGGACCCCCACCCCCATGGGGGACAAGAGAGGGTCGTTAGCATTCAAGCTCTGTTTTTGGCTGCATTTATTAGCTGGTTTATTTGATAATCGGGATTCCTCCTGGGATCAAGCCTGCCTTTGCTCGGCTCACGCTGTGCGAATCTGTGCTATTTCCCTTCCTGGAGCCCTTCATTTAGAACACAGACGCAGCCTGCTTTCCCGTTAGCGAGATGACACGCCTGCACTACCCACACGCAGATAAAGAATTAGGCGGAACTTGGCCGGGAAGATAAAACAAGCTAACCATCTTATTAAGCTTGTGTTGGAATTAACAGAGAAGCCTTCCACAGAGAGATCCATCACAACAAGGGGTGGAGGAATTTGCCATAGCCATTTCCTTCGGGAAACTTGCCTCTGTTGTGGCAAACAGAAACAGGAAGTGTGATGTCTCTCTTACAAAGGGTCAACAGACAGAAATTTAGCATAAAGATAGCAGAGTAACATTTAGCACTTACCATGTGTGAGGCACCATGTGCTATGATACGTGTTATTGTTGGAACCTCACTTCACAGTGACCTGTAGGATAAAGTACTGTTAAGATTCACATCTAGCATACAAGGAAGCAGGCTCAGAGAGCATACCATACAGGCCACAGGATGCTAACCAAAAAAAAAAAA